ATAGATAGATAGATAGATAGATAGATAGATAGATAGATAGATAGTTTTTATAACCTTTCCTTTCCCTTCTTTTTATTGTTTTTGCTTCTATGGCTTCTCCCATTTTGCTAGAGTATGGGAATGGGGCAAAAACTCTAAGAGTTGTACAGCTAGAGAATATGCTTGAACGGTATGCTTCATTGGTTTTATAAAAGAAGAAACATGAGATAAGAGAACAGATGATAATTAAACATTTTTACTGGTCTGTGTCACTATGGCTTTGATCCCAACCAAAACAATATGTCATGAGCCAATAACTGAAATGGCTGTGAATCTGTCCCTTTGTCAAGGAGAGCTAATTTGGGTCAGACCTCATCTTTTCTCTTTAATGTTGTCTCATGATATTATCTCAACCAATGTTTCTAAATTAGGTATTTTACTTTACATGACTGGATTTCATGCATCAAATAATTTTGGACAGCTCATAACTTGTTCCAACTCAGTGACAAACCGGTATTAGTCATTATGATTAACTTGCAAGGAATCTACAGTGGGGCAAAAAAGTATTTAGTCAGCCACCAATTGTGCAAGTTCTCCCACTTAAAAAGATGAGAGAGGCGAATGGGGCCATGTATCGTGAGATTTTGAGTGAACACCTCCTTCCATCAGCAAGGGCACTGAAGATGAAACGTGGCTGGGTCTTTCAGCATGACAATGATGAATGGGGCCATGTATCGTGAGATTTTGAGTGAACACCTCCTTCCATCAGCAAGGGCACTGAAGATGAAACGTGGCTGGGTCTTTCAGCATGACAATGATGAATGGGGCCATGTATCGTGAGATTTTGAGTGAACACCTCCTTCCATCAGCAAGGGCACTGAAGATGAAACGTGGCTGGGTCTTTCAGCATGACAATGATGAATGGGGCCATGTATCGTGAGATTTTGAGTGAACACCTCCTTCCATCAGCAAGGGCACTGAAGATGAAACGTGGCTGGGTCTTTCAGCATGACAATGATGAATGGGGCCATGTATCGTGAGATTTTGAGTGAACACCTCCTTCCATCAGCAAGGGCACTGAAGATGAAACGTGGCTGGGTCTTTCAGCATGACAATGATGAATGGGGCCATGTATCGTGAGATTTTGAGTGAACACCTCCTTCCATCAGCAAGGGCACTGAAGATGAAACGTGGCTGGGTCTTTCAGCATGACAATGATGAATGGGGCCATGTATCGTGAGATTTTGAGTGAACACCTCCTTCCATCAGCAAGGGCACTGAAGATGAAACGTGGCTGGGTCTTTCAGCATGACAATGATGAATGGGGCCATGTATCGTGAGATTTTGAGTGAACACCTCCTTCCATCAGCAAGGGCACTGAAGATGAAACGTGGCTGGGTCTTTCAGCATGACAATGATAGAACTTGCACAATTGGTGGCTGACTAAATACTTTTTTGCCCCACTGTATTTCCACAGTTACTAAAATCTATTTCTATCTGATTTGCTCTTTTATTCTTGTGTCTGTTTGCTAATATATACACAAGCCAGCTCGTATATATTTTCCTTCCAGAAATGTAGTTGCTCCATAAAAACCTGGTGCCCATCTTAAAAAATGAATTCTACAAAAATAGGTGCCTGCATGAACAGCTTCTACATATTATTTGCTGAAAGTTAAAAAACAAAACAAAAAACTTTATGGTTGATGTTTGACAAGTTTCTAAACAAGTTTCCAAGTATTGGAACAAATTATGATAAACAGTGATTTCTTTATTAACTGAGCCTTTTGTACAATTTTTTTCATGAAAAAACTAAGTCAAAAGAACATAAGTTATTCTTTTTTGTCTCTTTCTTTTCAACTGATGCATAAGTTATACAACTTCTTAATTTTTGAATGTGTTGGACTTGATTCACTTCCTTTTTTGTTTTCCACAGGTGCGTATGGAAGCAAAAGTCCATTCAGATTTCTTATTAAGAAGATCTGCACCCTAACTGGGAATTTCAAAGCTCTCTGCCGGCCACCTACTTTGCCTGTTAGCTCAACAGACCGTCCTCTTCATGAAATCCCCCAAGTTGTGAACCAGGATGAGTTGAACTCTGTAGCACAGTCACTCATTATAAGTTTTGAACTTGAACAGGGACAAAATTCATTCCACCTTCAGGATGGCTGTATGCCTAACGCTCAGTCTCAAGAAAAACAACTTGCAAGAGGTGAACCTACAAACTTGGAGAAGCGGAAAACAGTTCCAAAAAGGGAGTATAAACTTTGGTCTACCTCTGAAAACTTAGGGGAAACTTTACATTGGGTATAAATTATACATTTAACTTGGGATGGTATATGAATTGATTGTGGATAAATTATTGCTTTACGTTTGGGATTGATCAGGAAGCAGTATTTATGTACTATAAAGATACTATTTTTTGCTGTAATGGTGTCACAAATGAGTATCTCAGGAGAACTAAAATTCAACTTACAGCTAGTTCATATGCTGGCCACCCAAGACTGCTTTTCTGGGGGGTGCAGAAGCAAATGCGTGTGCTTCTCCCTACAATGCATGTAAGGTACTGTATGAACCAATAGGTTTGTGCAGATTTAATTTTTCTCACTAAATGGGAAAATGCCATGGAAAGGGGGTTTGGTCCACAAATGTACAGACTGGTCTTGTTTTACTGCAGATGAAATTTGGATAGAAAAACCTACTGTTCAAAATTAAATTCATTCTGCAGGAATACAGTAAATTCATTTTAAGGCCCTGAGCTCATATTAGAAAAGACATATTATTTAACTGAACACGGGTCTTGGATTTATGAATGTTTAATGAGCTAGAGTTATTTTATTTACTGCTTATAACTAGGCCAACTATATTCAAAAGGATTATTTTCCCCCCGTTTCTTTGGAAAATGAGGGCATTGTTATTTAGATTAGTGTTGTACCATTTGCTATTAATGAGAAAGGAATATGCGGTCTTATTTTGCAGCTAGTGTTTCCTTGACAGAATACTGAGTGTAGTATACAGGGAAGGGACTCGGGTGCAGTATGTGGGAAACACACATAAGTTTTCCCATTTAGTAGTGATTTCTCAACCCCACAATGTCTGGAGGTTGCCTCAACCTTTAGCCATGGTTTTAAAAAGCTTTTTGAAAATTGCTTTAAAAAGGGAGATGGAAAGCTTATACATAGCATTCTGGATCCCAGGTGAAATGTGGGGTAAATTTGGTGTGATAGTACAGTCATTTAAACACTTCCACACACATTTTTGTCATCTCAGGGACTAATATATTTTTTTTTAATCCAGAGGGAGATAGTTTCTGAGTATGGTTGCTTCCCTCAACTGGCTTTATTTTATAGTGTATATACATAAGTTTGAAAGCAAGAGGCATGCTGTTTTAATTCAGTTACACTCTGTTAAAGAATCAAGGGTTCATCATCAGCTGAAGACCTTAAATGATTCTTGTCCTGACATAAACTATTTTAATGTTTGGGAAGTAAAAATCTATTTCTTAAAACAAAAGTAAAAATTTTGCTTTCACACTGGGGAAAGAAATTGCCAGATTTGATTGAAGCTTGACTGTGTAATTGTGTTCATAATCATGTCCTGTCTATGTTTTCTCAAGCACTTGCACATATATATGTAAAATGCCTGTAACATTAAAGCTGAATTATAAAATTTTTACATGCAGTCAGAATTTATAGGAGTAAAAAAGTGTTTTCTTTATAACTTAACCGTCTTAGTAGGTATTTAAAATGCTGTGCAAAAGTCATATTAAACTATTCTACTGAAATATGTGCATTGGTTTTTACTCATCTATTTATATTTTGGAATTTTTACTTTGTATGGATTGATTTTATCTGTTGCTGTTTTTGTAATAGTAGTTCATGTATTTGTTGTCAGATAGATACTGGTATTATGCTCCTGGCTGGAATATGTACTGTGCAGTGCAGAAGAGGAGTTGCAAATGTTTTGTTTCTCGAGTCAGCATTTCCTGAGCTAAGTTTTCAGGGAACTTGGGCAGTGAGTCACCAGAAGAGGAATGGGGAACAGTCCCTGTGGACTACATGTGTGTAGCCTATGGAGCTCCACCACTGATAATTAAAATGTAAGACTGACATACAGAATAGCTCCTCTAGGCACAAGATGCTTAATCTGGCCACTCTTCCATGCAAAATCTCCTTAGTGATGTTTCTAGCAGCAGACCATCACAGTGCTCCAAATGGCAGCATTTGCAGAATAGTGTCCTCATTCAGTTTCATTCAGGAATGATCGATATCCTATCAGTCCTTGCTGCAAGAGTTGTTTTGTTTTGTTTTTTAATTTAATTACAACCCCTTCTCCACGGGCAGTAGATGTGGCTTGGCCAATGCATCAGAGCTGGGAGGCATGGCCGATACCGCCAGGTCTGGCCAATGAATTCTGTAATGAAGAGGCTTGCCTCTTCAGCTCTCTCTCCCTCTCTCCAGCTCTTTTCTTTGGAGGACTAGGAAGGCAAACTGGGCAATTGATTGTGTTTTGATTGACAGGAGCATGTTAACTTTTATCCAGAGTGGATCTCTTTGGGTTAAATCTACAGTAACTCTCTTGGAATGAGTTGACCGCTTAATTGATCCCCTTTTGATATCCATACATGTAACTCTCCCTATTGACTTGATTAAGCGGTTTCATTTTGAAAGGATTTAAATTTCCACTAGCTTATTTGTTTTAAAACCCCATAGACAAGGTTTATTGGCAGAAAACAAGCATACCTCAACATAAGACTGAAAAATAGTACATTGAGATAGAAATACAGCTACTTGAACCTGCTTAATGTTGAATCAGTGTATGCACATTTCTCTCTGACAAGGACAGTGTTATACCCTGCTTTCTCTTGAATACTTTTTAATTGAAGAAGCTAGGTATTGTTATCTGAACTTCATTCCCTTCCTTATAATATGGATTTATGTACGTTGTCATCATTTGGTCTGTTTTAATATTAAATCATCAACATTCCAAATGTTTTCCTTGATTCAAACACACCCAACATAATGTAATATCCTTGCCTCTGCTTTCTTGAAGTAGTGTTGGCCTTTTCTGCCTGTATCTGAGCCAATTTCCATGCCAACCCTGGTGCATTTTGCTAAAAATGTTTCCAAACTCTCACTCTTATTCCTTCTGTGAATAAGTAAGCTGTAGGTTAATATTCACTGCTACATTGAAACTTGAAATAATTCTAGAATTAGTACCTTTCCCACACAGTATGTAACAGGCTGTGAGAATAACCCTAAGGGACAGGAGAAAGAGCCACAACCAAGATGACGGGCAAATGAAATCTGAGTCCAAAGCAGGAATGCCATGTAAGAAAGTGACTTGACCATCCATAGTTCTCCTGAGCATGGGGGTGGGGGGGAACAAAAATTCAAACTTCCAAGATTCTTTACTGTAACCTTATAATAAAAGTAGTATTAGCATTCATAACTTTGGTTTCTTAGTCTGGTCTACCTCAAAGGGCTGACATAGCGGTTATGAAGGTCTTATTGGATTCAAAATCCTCCAATTATGCACTAGCATTTTTGGGTTCACCCTTTTCAGTGTTTAGGCCTGTAGACAGCCACAGAGATAACCTTGGAGAAATTATGCAGAGATGGCTACAGAAACATATACAAAAACGCAAGGAAGAAGCTCAGACTGGCTCTGCCTTGACTCCTGAGATATAAGAAGGAAGAAAAGGAAAATACAGTCAGGCTGATTAGACTACATCAATAAAACATAGTTTCAGTCCAACTTGTGGAGCTGGTTTCTTGGTCTGGCCTACCTTGAAGGGCTGATGCTACTAGATGGGAACTATATTGGACACAGAATATCTTGTGAGATAAAGTGATTGGCCCAATGTCACATTTACAGCTGAGTTGGGATTGTAACTGATGTATTATGAATGGTCTATGAAAACAAAGCATTGTGTGTGCGTGTGTGCCTTTGACTCCTGGTGACTGTCTGGACAAGTCCCTGCAGTTTTCTTGGCAAGATTTCAGAAGTGATTTGCCATTGCCTTCTTCCTAGGGCTGAGAGAGGGACTGGCCCAAGGTCACCCAGCTGGCTTGTGCCTAAGGCAGGACTAGAACTCACTGTCTCCCGGTTTCTAGCCTGATGCCTTAACCACTACACCAAACTGGCTCTATGAAAACGTCATTACTATGTAATGAATTTGGGCTAGCTTAATCTAAATATCTCATCATTACAGTAGTGTTGATCCTATCACTTCTAAATGGGTCAACATTAATTGCATATAGCTAGCTATGTACGTTTTATCTGGTCAGTAACCCAAAATCTTTTGGTTTAAAACTCCTCCATAGGCAGTGCTCAGATATTCTCTCCAGTTTCAGTTGTTTCAGTTGTTTTGGAACTCGTAATGCTA